ATATAACTCATTGGTTCTATATTTTTTTACACTAATAGTTAGTCAGGAGTGAGTCATTTCCTTAGTAAGGTTATTGCCCTTTTGTTTAATTTATTGGAAGTTTACCTTTGCCTACCACTTTAAAATAACCCTTCGTTCCTAACTTTGGGAATCCAAATCTACTTGCCACACTTTTTGGTTTTACCAATATCTCTACAAGCCTAACACCTCAAGTAGGCCCAACATTCCTCAACTAACAATTCATACCTTTTTCTTTTACTTGTTCGCTTCGTTGCTTAATTTTTCCCAGTGACAAGATAGGAGGAGATCCTATCCACTTTATTTTTCCCACAAGTCAACAATTAAGCAAATACTACCCATTTTAATTTATCTGAATTAGTATCAGGGATATTAGTTATTTACTCTTCTTTTTACTGCTACATTATTATTATTATTATTATTATTATTATTATTATTATTATTATTATTATTATTATTATTATTATGTAATCACATGAGTTGGCTGAAATAAATTTGGCAACATGACAATCAATATTTTGTAGAGTTTGGTCAAGATGGAGAAGTCCGAGTCAAAATATGCAGTAGGAGACGCACTCACTTTAAAATTAAAGTAATTAGTAACTTGCTAAGTAAGGAAAAAGGAAATGTTGAGGTAATTTTCTTGAGAACAAAATGGTTACGCAATATTAAAGTAAGAAGAAAAATAGTTCTTTCATAGGTAATTGTGTGTTTTAAAATTGTTTTATGTACTATTACTCTACTGAAGCTTATATTTTAATGTAACTTATTCTAAGATATATATGAAAGGATTGGAAAAGGCATGAGACAATGATGGAAGCATAAGGGTCGACAATTGTACTTGTTGTGTTCCAGGGGCACCTTAGCTAGCGTCTGCATTTTTAAGGTACAATGGCGTCGTCAATTACCAAATACTCCAATTAATTAAACAGGGCGAATTTATTGTAAGAAAAAAACAAACGAATCGTTAAGCAATGGATAAAATTGGATATGGATTGGTTAAGAAAAAAAAGAAGATCATATAAAAAATAATAATTTTTAATAGATTCGATACATTTAAATAATTGTATACCATTAAGTGTGAGTGTGAATGATGTGTATAAAGGTATAATAATGGTGGTGGGTGCATTTGGACTGGTGGGTTAACACATGAGTGGTTCCTATTTCTGTATTTTTTTTTTCTTTGAATAACGAATTAATAATGGAAATGATACCTCAACCAAACACACCTATTGGTGGTTTTATTCCAAATGGCAATCCAAACAAAGTGGGTTGTCACTAAGAATGGCTATTGGGGCCTCTCAACTATTATGCAACATTTTTAGATTCCCAAATAGTACCATCTCATCTCAACTTGTGTATTTTGGCAAACAAGAAAAAAGAAAAGAAAAGAATAAACAAAGTAAGAGACAAGAACATTACATGTTTAGAAAAAATGGAAGAGGGTGCTGACTACTACTTTCATCATTTGTTGAAGACACTCGCAATTTGAGATATGTTCACGTAATCAAAACTTTTGCATGCTGCAAATTATGGAAGAGAAATCTGTTCTTATGGCTGCTTCTATCTTCTCTTCTATCTATCATGTTTTCCTCTTGCGTCACTGAATCTTCGTTTCATTTCATCGGTGACATCACGCAACTATGGCTCGTAACACCGTTTCAATTCAATTTGATGATGCAAACTAGTCTTCTCATTCTTACACATATATTTCTGACATTTTATTAGTCGTTGCATGTTTTTTAATAATGAAAATAAAGTTAATATTTAAAGAAATAAAGTATGTATCAGAAAAATAAGTAAGATAAATAAATTGCAACAAAAAAAAAACTCAAAAGCGGAATGTGTAAAATCAATTATACGTATAATTGGAATTGGATGTATATTGAAAAAAAAAATAAAAAAAAAATCTATGTAGTAATAAAATAACGATAAGTTTAACGGATTCATTTTCTGGTTGGTCCTTTGTAACCAAAAACCCGTTTGGTTTGATTCTCCATCTTTTATTTTTATATTTAAAGAATAACTGCTTAAAGAATTCGACGATCTTTCAGTCAAATCAACATATGTTAGAACATCTAGATAAGATTGGGGTTTAATAATAAAAAAAGGAAAAATAAAATAATGTATACTGCATATTTTAGTTGTCAATAATGAATTAACAACAATATTTAATTTTAAATTAAAAACATGAAAAATCCTAAAAAGAATATATAGTTTTTATTGATAAAATTTAACAACAAAATCATTTTAATAATTAAATTATATTAAAACTATAATAATCTTAAATTTCAATTTATCAAAGACATTAAGATGAATTTAATTTTATACAACATATCAGTATTTTATTTTTTAAAAATAAAACATGTAAGGAAAATAAATATAAAACTCAAAATAAATTCAATATAAGAAAAATAATGTGGCTAAATGAAATTAAAATTAACTTCATAAAAAACTCTTATTTAAGAATAACGACTCGTACTTATAATACAAAAGTATTTTTTTCTGGTAAATCTAAGAATAAAAAAAAACTATAAATTAAATATCAAAATTGCCCTTGCATGGCATGCACAAACTTTATTTGTTAATTTACTTGCGAAAATAAATTACAAATACAAATTCTTAAGGTTATGTTCTTGACATTAAAAAAAATGGGATACCCATGATTAAATAAATAAGAAAAAGAAATTACATTATACATTATACATTATACATGACACATTTCGAAATATAATAAAAAAGAAAAATTGACTAAAAACAAGAATTTTGGTTTTCCTTAAATAACAGTGCACATGTGCAAGGGTTTCATCGGAACCCCACCTTATCCTTTGTTTCCATCTTTTTATGTTAATCCATTGTGAACCTTTTTCCCTCATGATTTGATACCATGAATTATTTAACATTTTCTTTTGTTAAAACCAAAACATTATAGTTAGTTGACAAAAGCAAGAGTTTGAGTCTTGTACGTTTTCTTTTTCTTTTAAAAATGAACCGTATTTCAAAATAGTTTAGACTTCAATTACTTTTATTTGGATCAAATTAATTTTTTTAAATTATATTATTACTAGAACCTGAACTAATGCACAGATACATGCACCTTGATACTAAAGTATTACTCAAAACACTTTGTTTATTTTTTTACGGTGATTTCTATAATTTTTCTTCACCTTTTTCTGTTTTATTTTTCTCATATTCGTTGGATGATTGGATTTTTCTTTTCGTGTGTTTCTTGGGATGCAATGCAAACAGTTAATATTTTATTTTAATTGAAAGAGACTTCAGCATTTATCTTTTTAAGATAAGGAAATGTGGCATTCTTTTGTTTGAAAGAAAGCTGGATAGGTCTGTTCACCATTGTCAGCTTACTTCTAAAGTTCAATGAGTGTTTATCATTTTTTTTTTCTCATTTTTTTTTATTTTGTTTATGAGTTTAAGAAAGCGAGATATTGGGGATAGAGTGAATTAAAGTGAATCAAATAATGTTAATGGGTTAAGAATATTCTGATATAATTATATATCTATTGTTTTCATTTCATCTGTATTTTTAAATCGTGTTACTGTGATGAATTTGGATAGATATATTTCAATGTCATTTTTTAATGTTTAAAGCAAGTTATATTTTTTTTGTTTTTTTGTAACTTTTTAAAGCAGAGAACCCTGCCAAACTATATTCATATTCTAATTATTCTAACTGGAAATATATTCACGAATATAACTTGAATATATGAAAATGTTTTTATAGAAATTCCAGTAGCTTTTAGATGCATGGAATTTTTTTATGAGTAATGGGTAAAGACCATGTTCTTCTTTTTACATCTTACAGGCTTGTAATAAATAAATATTTAAACACCGAAGGGTAAGTTTTTTATTAATGCGGGTTATCAAATAGATTAACATATGAATTTAAGATTTAAATGGTTTAACTGAAAATTAAATCGAAGTTTAACAAAAATTAAATCCAAGTTGAATCAAATTTAATAAAATAATATATTTTAATAATATATTAAACTTAAAATAAGTTTATCATAATATAATAATAATAATTTCAATATAGTATAATTGTTATTTAAAAAAATATTATATAATAATAAAAATGATTTATAAAAAACTAATCTTTGCATTAATAAAAAAAATTACTTTTTTTTTCACATTTATATATGTCTTTATGATGCTAATATATAAAATAAAACAACTTCATTTACCATTTTTTTAAAGAAAAAAAATGAACTACCTCTTAACTTATTTGATTTTATCAATTTTTTTTTATTTTTAACCGATTTTTTTAATCGATTCATTATTTATCTAATTTTTAAAGAATTTTGAACCGATTATTACTCCAGTTCCTCGTCCAACAGATTAAATTGTCGAATTCGATTTTGATAATCATGCTTTGATGTCGTCGTTTCATAAATAGTTTATTTTATGATAATTTGAATTTGTTGACACAATTAGGTATCTAAGGGCTCAAACTTGGGCTTATAATCGTACTGACAAATGCAGGTTTTTTTTTCTCGGAAATGGACTAGTAAGGAGCCCAAAATCTTCTGATGGTTTAAGCCCAAGAATAAATCTTCTCTTCGTTATTACTCAGCTAAATATTACTACTACTATAACTACCAGTATAATGATGTGAATATAAAAAAGTTTATAAGTAGTATTATTATTCACGCGAATAAAAAACAATACTGTTCTAATAAAATAGAATTGTCACATTTCATTATTCCCCAATCCAATGGTTAGTTTTGGGAATTCACGATCTCACGCTTCACGCGTAACTTCTATACGCTGATTACGAAAACTTGGAAAATCAATTTGCACTTCTCAGTCCTAGTGCGAGAGAAGGATAAGTGAGATTCTTCTTCTTCTCCATAGTTCTAAATTGTAATATAAGCTAAGGACGATGAATTAGAATTCATGGTTTCGCCAAAGTAAAGTTGATTCGGTGGCATCTCTCATTTGACATTTCTACCCTCTGGATTTCAATGGCCGATCACTCAGACTCTTCTCCTCTCGTGCCTCCCCTTCCCCTCACTGACCCTTCGGAGATCGACCTCGAAGCCGGTCCCTCCGAACAAATCCAATGCCGAATTTGTCTCGAAACCGATGGTAATTTCACTTCCATTTTTTTTTCTTTTTCGATTTCAGGCTAGGGCAAGTTGCACTTCCACGTGGTGAGAAGTGCGAACTATCAGTTTTTAATTCAAAGGACTCATAAATTATAATTTCGAATTTTACGGGTTCAGTCCTCTTAATTCCTTTTATTTGTCGATTTATGAATTTCAAAAACTTGAATAGTGTGAAGTTGAAAAGAATCTCGTTAATCCCTTAGCTCTGTTCATTTTAGTTCAATTACACGGAGAAAGTAATTAATTGTTGAATTTGAGTAATTCAGTACTGTCTGGATCGTTTCGTTGTTCATTGAAATTTGAATTTGGTTATTTTTAGCAATTACTTGTGTAGTTGCTCTTGGGACTTTTGTTGTTTCATGTGTAGGTATTGCAGCTATGTTGAGAATAGCTGCTAATGTATTTAAGCTTCATTATTGAATGTTGATCCCGACTCTTGGAGTATATGATATGTTTTATCAGCTGCCTTGCGTTTTTTTTTTTTTTTATTCAGGTAGAGATTTCATAGCCCCTTGCAAGTGCAAAGGTACATCAAAATATGTACACCGAGAATGTTTGGATCATTGGCGAGCAGTTAAGGTAAATAATTCATGATTATAACATTAGATAACAGCTTTTTATAAGTGATGATGATTTGTGTCTGGTAGTTAGCGTGGCAAGAAGCAAGTGTATTATGTTAAACTGACTAAAGGATATTTTGGTAGCTAGTAAACCTTTTGTTTGGTTAATCAATTAACGAATGATTTATGTTATGTTCTCATTTGTTGATCTCTTAATATTTTCCAATTTGTGCATATTACCCTGTGGTTGACTTGGTAGCATTTCATTAAACTTCAGAGGTTTTCTGTTGATTCATAACCTTCAGTTATCTCTCTGTCTATTGGCTACTCATCCCCATTTTTTAGGTGATAAAAAGGTTTTACATGTTGCTTTTTATTTTAGTCAGTTTGTTCTTTGCCATTTTGATTTGTTCTCCGTGATTTTAACAAGTTTTCATGCCCTTGAATCTCTTGGCATTGATACATTGAGGTTTAGTAACTATTTTTAGTTTTTCATTCTATTCCCTTTTCTTTAATGATATTTTGATACCGTAAGTAACCAATTAACTATCTTTGGCATTAACTTTTGTGACTTTATCTAATGATGAAAAGAACTGTAGTCCATGAACTAATTTTTCTTTGGAAAAAAAAAACCTCCAATGTGCACAGGGTGTTGTGCAGTGTAAAGTACTGAGCAAATAACCCCTGGTGGAGAAACATCTACATATTTTTGTATATGTACAGCATCTGACAATAATCTGTGCATATATGATGTGCAATCACCTAAACATTAGTCTTTAAATTATGCCCCAATTTTGAGTGGGATGATATTTTTTTTTTCTGTCTCAACAGTTCCATGGGTAAAATGGTGTATTTTACAGTCCTTGACCTAAGAAATATATGGATATTGCTTAAACTTTTTTTTCTTTTTTTTTTCAGGAAGGCTTTGCCTTTGCTCACTGCACTACGTGCAAGGCTCCTTATCATTTGCGTGTTCATGTTGCTGCTGATAGGAAATGGCGTACGCTGAAATTTCGGTTTTTTGTCACCAGAGACATTTTGTTTATATTTCTGTCTGTCCAGCTTGTAGGTGAATGGTTTCCATTTGTCTAGGCATCTATAGACTTGTTCATTTGTTGTTTATGAGCGCATATAGGAGATCTGATTCAGCCCCTTAATTACCTATGCAGGTCATTGCGTCACTGGCATATTTGGTTTATCTAATAGATGGTTACCAGCAATACTGGCTTCGTCTTCTCTGGGGTTTTGATAGTGAAATGAGCTTTTACTACATATGTGGTAAATTATAATTAACGTGAACTGTGTCATCAAAATGTTAATACAATATTGTTTTCTGCAAATTATTTTTTTGTTGGTAATTTCTAATGCAGGAGCTCTATTATTTTTTGCCTTGCTTGGCCTTTCTGGGTGCTTCATTACTTGTTATGATCGAAGAGTTCGCAATGATTTAGCTCAGCCTTGTAGAGAATTATGTCTTTGTTGCTGTCAACCTGGGTAGTATGATTTTACACATTCACAAGCCTTTCTATTGTCAGAACACATAATGAAACTCGTAGCATCTTCATAAGGCATTGTTATAATGCTTGGTTTTTTTTGCTTCATTATACAATTCAAGAAACTATGCTAGAAGTGTAACATATAAGATCTAATCCACGTTATATTCTAGACTCTTCTTCTAAAAACCTTTTTTCAAAGATATATAAATTAAGTTGTTAAATTATTCATGCTTGCTTATGCTTACCAAAGAAAGAAAAATGTGCAATGTTATTTATGAAGTAGGTTATAGTATCAGCAAGTTTGTGATTCAGAAGGTTAATTTTTGTGTTGTATGATGTTGTTGCAGAGTTTGTGCAGACTGTCATTTGCCAGGCACTCTTTGTATGTGGACTGATTGCACCACTTGCTTTGAGAGTTGTGGAACCATGGCAACTGAATGTGGTGGTTGTTTGGGTGGTGCTGGGGAAGCAGGGCTACCATTATTATTCATAATGGCTTTGGTTGTTCTGGGACTTTTTACCGTAATTGGGATATTCTACAGTGTATTGGTGGCTACCATGGTAGGTCAACGGATATGGCAACGTCATTATCACATACTTGCAAAAAGGATGTTGACAAAGGTGTGGCTGGTTTAGTTTATCATCTTTTGTGCTTTTGGTGCAGTGATATGAGCTGTCAAAGTTTTTTGCTAATAAGCTGACAAATCATGCTAGTTCTTAACCAAATTGTGCAATTAGCCTTTTAGCTGTCACTTGGTTTAGTTTTTAGCATTTAAGTCCTAAATGATATCTTCACAGAAACATTTACTAAGGAAGGAAGCCAAGAAACGCAACTACAAACTTTTCTTCTTTTATAATTGGCTTCATTTTTAAGTTTCTCTTGCATTAGAGCCATACTATTGATAGAGTATTTTTCTGATTTTTTGCTGAAGTAAAGGCGTTTCAACTACTAGCTTATGTTTATATAACACGAGTTGTTTTTTATGTAGCTGTTGTGAACATGTGGTGGACTTCAAAAGAGTTTTGTAGTTCAGTAAATGATTGATATTCTGATTTGCATCCTTGCTGCTACTGATATGATATTGTTATATCGATGAGAATTTTTTATTTACATACAAATGTGGTAAAATATAGTAAATACGGAGATATGACAGACTCTTTGATGGTCTACTTACTCCTTTTCAACGTAGATGCTTGCCTCACTTCCCCCTTTTACCCAATTCCGCTCTCAAATCAAAACTCCTTTGTCTCACGTTCTGTGTGCATCTGTTACAAACCTCCAATTCACCAAGTTCATCCCTATTCACACACGCCTCTCGCGTGCATGTATGAACTATGCACTTGCTACTCATCCATCGCTTGTATAATTTAGCTAGGCCAGGGGCTGGGAAACTAGGAAGTATTGATGGGACAGAAAGGCTGCTGTACCATTGTTAGACATGTCTCTGACATGGATACTCTGGCAACATGTTTGGGCATGTGGCAGTGTGGATTTGGATCAGGTGCAGAGAAAGGAGGTGACCTGGGGATTAGCTATAGTACCAATAATCTAAGCGTTAACCGGATGTTTTATAAAGACATCATTATGCCCATGCCTCAAACGAGCTGACATTATCTTGAATTGTTGATTATTAAATTGCTATTACTTCTCACCGTAGGAGTATGTCGTTGAAGACGTCGATGGAGAGCTGACTGGATCTGATTGGTCTCCCCCGGCTCTCCCACAGGAGCATGTTCAGCAGTTGAAAACATTGGGCCTACTATGAGTTTTTTCAAGAGTCACCAGTCATATACTTGATGACAAGAACCACAGTAGAGATACATTGCCCTTCCCTCTTGTTTGGGTAAGCTGGTCCTTTTATTGAAGACCTGCTGTTAATTGATAATTGTGTAATAGCCACTCAATTCAGTTTGGCTGAGTTGTACAATTGTGATGAACCACTGATATGTGGAAATTGTGAATGTCTGACATCGACATGACTACAGTCTACTTATGTAAAGAAAATGAAAGAGGATTCTTTTAATGCCCAATAATAGGTTACAGGTGCATCGCCATTTCTTTTTCTTGATACCATGCTGCTTGGCTAGTCATGTTTTGTTTGTTACTTGTTGTATTTGTTGTAAATAATTTTAATGGCAAAAATTCATGAGTACAACTGCCCCATAATACAGCATATTTAGTTTGTTTAAGGAAAATTGTGTGGTCTCACTCTCTTTCTCTCGTAGTTCCTTTAACTTTATTTCTTAGTCTGCAACGATTTTGTTTCTGTTCAATCTGTTATCCCACGTAATGGAAGTATCTTCTCTCAGATTTTAAAATCAATTAGGACTAGACGAGAGGGACTAAAAGTTACATAATTTGTATGTGGAGAGTTGAGTGTGAAACTTTCTATTTGATATTCTACCTCGACTTTGAAAATGTTTCTTATTATAGACAAGATTACGAAAATTTTGAAATTGTGTTAGATTTTAAATTAAAATTAATTAATATTAGACGAAATAATTATTAGATGTATTGAAATGGGAGACTTTCTCTTTGACACTTTCATTAACAGTATTCAGTTGATAATGAAGCATTCAAAAATATTATTGATTTCAACAAAGAGTATTAAATTGATAATAAGAATTTAGAGTTTATTTATATATCTTTAGTTTTTCCTCTCTTTTTTTTTTTCATATTTCTTAATATTTCAGGAATTGTTTTCTTACTTCCATATCAATATAATAATATTTATGCTTTATTCTCTATTCTCTTCTAAGCTTTAGCCACCGCAAACGGCCATTAATGTCTACTGGCGGCCATGAGATTTTGATTTAGTGGTTCTGTTTATTTAGGGTTCAATAGGTTTATAGTTCTTTCTTCTCCGACACTAATTATAATAACTTCATCTGAATTATTTCTGCCTCTAAAAGGAAAAAAATTTACAAAAGAAGAGCAAAAAGTGTTATTGACTTTCATTAAAGTACTTCTATAAAATAAGGTCGCAAAATCAAAAGAAGAAATTGTAAAAAAAGAAATATGGTAAAAAAAATTTACATGATAAGTTGAGAGTTCATCCAAATCAAATTATAAGATGTGTTAGATATTATAAAATATTGTTAAGATATTGTTAACCACAATATCAAATAATATTTTCTGTTTAATTTCGATTACTCTTTTAGTTATACATCTTTCTATGTATGGTTTATACATAAGGGAGATTAACCCTATACAGTTTTTTCCTATATTCAACATGGTATCAGAGTTTAAGGTTTTTAAGAATTTTTTTTTTGTCCCTGTCATTGCAACAGTCGTTGTCGCAACCGTTGCCACTTACGCCGACTCACCTCATTCCCTTCTTCCTGGATCTATTCTCGTTGCTCCAATTGAACCTCTTTAATGTTTTAGGATTTTTCTCTCTCTTCCTCCATGACATCTTCCGCTACCTCTTCCGACTCTAAAATTTCTCCTCTCAGATCCAGTGGGTTTGACCAATCAATCTTTACTAACTATGTCAATGTGAATTTGCTCATTGATAAGTTAGATGATATGAATTATGCAACTTGGGCGTTAGCCATTAAACTTTGGCTTGAGAGCCAGGGGTATATTCGTCATCTTACTCAAAAGGTAACTGATATTGCTTCTGATGATCTTGTACGTTGGAAGAAAATTGATGCTCATATATGCATGGTTCTCAAGAATACCATCCAATCTTCTTTAAAACAAATTTTTCGATCATATGGAACATGTTCTGAAATTTGGGAACAAGCTAAATTATTATACACAAATGACACTCAACATCCTTATGGTGTTTTTTACAACCTTTTTTATGTTACTGCTCCTCGGGATAAGGATCTTGTGGCGGATTATGTGGGTAAGATACATGCTCTTCTTCATGAATTTAATGAGTTATTACCTCCTGCATCTACTCCTGCACAAGAATTAGAGCAACAGTCCAAGTTTTTCATGGTTTTAATGTTACACGGACTTGCTGATAAATATTCCCATGTCTGTGACCAGATTTTGGGTTCCCCTGTTACACAATTTTACTTCTAAGAGTTCCTACCTTTTCCTGTGCCATGTAAACCTCTCAATGATCCTCCTGATTTTTACTAATGATTCCTTTGCTATGACATCTCAAGGTGATGATCACAATCGCTCTCACAAGCCACGCAAAGGGTGTCACAAGTGTGACTATTGTGGCAAGCTATGTCACAAAATTGACAGATGTTATATTTTACATGGTTGTCCTCTTTGATCTGCTGTCGTTGCTCAAATTGATCCTTCCTCATAATCATCTGTTGTGGATCCTCCTTCATCTGCTCCCCGACATTAGACAAATCTGTCATCTTCAATGATATTAAATGGTATGAGGATCGTAAGCCCTCTAGTTTCACTATTTCTGTTGCATGCACATGTACATCTTTTGCTGGTCTGACTCAATCTTCTTCTATTGGCCCTTGGGTCCTTGACTCCGGAGTCACAAATCACATTACTGGTAACAAATCCTTATTTTCCTCTTTTTCCTCTCCCTACAATTTACCCTCTGTTACAATGGCTAATGAGTCTACAACTTTAGCTCATGGTGTTGGAACGATTAACCTTTTCCTTCCTTATCCATTTATAATGTTTTATATGTACCCGGGTCCCCCTTTAACTTATTATCCATTAGTCGTCTGCCTCATTCTCTTGATTGAATTATCTCTTTTACCAAAACTTATATTCATTTACAGGACTGAAGTTCAAAACAAGTAATTGGTACCGGATGTGAGTCACATGGTCTTTATCATTTTCGACCTTCTACACATGTTGACACAGTTATGGAGTCTCCTTCTCTCCTTCATGCTCAGCTTGGTCACCCCAGTTTGACCAAATTACAACAACTTGTTCCCAGCTTATCCCAGTTGTCCAGTTTGGTGTGTGAGTCCTATCAATTAGGAAAACATAATCGTAATTTCTTTCCTCGTAGTGTTTCATAGCGTGTTTCATCCCCATTTGTCTTAGTTCACTCGGACATTTGGGGACCAAGTCATATTAAGTCTAATTTAGGTTTTCAATATTTTGTTACTTTTATTGATGATTACTCCCGATGTACTTAATTATTTTTAATGAAAAATCGTTCTGAGTTGTTTTCCATATTCCAAACCTTTTATAATGATATTAAGAATCAATTTGGTATTTCTATTCAAACCTTCCAGAGTGATAATGGTCATGAATATCTTTCAAACTCTTTTAAACAATTTATGTCTTCTCATGACATTCTTCATTAAACTTCTTGTGCATATACACCTCAACAAAATAGGGTGGCTGAGCGCAAGAAGAGACACCTTATTGAAACAACTAGTACTTTTTTAATTCATGGTGCAGTTCCTCAACATTTTTGAGGTGGTGCTGTTCTTATTACATGTTATCTTATTAATCGTATGCCTTCTTCAGTTTTAGATAACAAAATTCCTCATTCTATTTTATTTCCTCGTGACCCTCTCCATCCTTTGTCTCTGAAGGTTTTTGGGTCCTCATGTTTTGTACACAATTTTGATCCTGATCATGATAAGTTATCTCCTAGATCACACAAATATGTTTTTCTAGGATTTACTCGATCACAAAAAGGATAAAAGTGTTTTTCTCCTTCTTTTAATCGTTATTTTGTGTCTGCAGATGTCATCTTCAATGAATCTTCCTTTTACTTTAAGGGTCCTTTTCTACCTGATGAGTCTCCATCTACTATTGTTCACATTCCTGTTATAATTAATCCTCTTATTAAGCATAATCTACCATTGGACCCTCCTCCTCCATTACCCCTTCAAGTTTATAGTCAAAGACCTCGTCCACAACAAACACCACGTGACTCACTCCTAGTACCAAATACGCTGTCTCCTCCGGCTCCACCCATTGAGTCTGACCTTCCTATTGCCCTTAGTAAAGGTATGTGTTCTACTCGTAATCTTTCTCCACATTATACTGCTTTGAGTTATCATAAAATTTCTTCACCTTTTTATACCTGCCTCTCGTCTATCTCTTCTGTGTCTATTTCTAAATATGTCCCTGAAGCCTTAGTCCATCTTGGTTGGCATCAGGTCATGCTAAATGAACTTAGTATTGTTCAGAATAGTGGAACCTGGGAGCTGGTCCCATTACCATCTAGAAAATCTGTTGTTGGTTACAAGTGAGTCTTTGCTATCAAAGTTGGTCCTGATAGTACTATTGATCGCCTCAAAGCTCGCCTTGTAACCAAAGGCTATACCCAAATTTTTGGATTGAATTATGGTGATACTTTCTCTCCAGTGGCAAAAATGACTTCTGTTTGTTTATTCATCGCCATGACTGCTCTTCAACAATGATATCTTTATCAACTGGATGTCAAAAATGATTTTCTTAATAGAGATTTGCAAGAATAAATTTATATGGAGCAACCTCCCAGATTTGTTGCTCAGGGGGAGTCTTCTGGAATGGTATGTCATCTTTGCAAATCTTTATATAGCCTAAAACGGTCTCCTAAGGCTTGGTTTGACAAATTTAGCAGCGTTGTTCAATAATTTGGCATGACTCGAAGTGAGGCAGACCACTCAATCTTTTACTGTCACTCTCAAGTATTGGATGTGTCTATTTGATAGTGTATGTTGATGACATTGTTCTTACAGGCAGTGACCACCATGGCATCTCCCAGATGAAACAACACCTTTGTCACCATTTTCAAACTCAAATATTTCTTGAGTATTGAGGTGGCACAATCTATCGATGACATTGTTATATCTCAAAGAAAGTATGCATTAGATATTTTGGAGGAAACTGAGTTGATGAGTTCAAAGCTTGTTAAAACACCCATGGATCCTAATACCAAACTCCTGCCAAATTAATGGGAGTCTATGTCAGATCCTGAGCAGTATAGAAGATTGATTGGAAAATTAAATTACCTTAAAGTTACTCTTCTTGACATTTCCTTTGCAGTCAGTGTGGTGAGTCAATTCCTCAATTCTCCATGTCAAGATCATTGGAATGCAGTCATCCATATATTAAAGTACATCAAAGGGTCTCCTGGAAAAGGTTTGTTGTATGGTTCCAATAACCATGCAAGAGTTGTTTGCTATTCAAATGTTGATTGAGCAGAATCTCCCTCTGATAGAAGATCTACATCTGGGTATTGTGTCTTCATTGGTGGTAATTTGATCTCGTGAAAAAGTAAGAAACAGAGTGTTGTGGCAATATCCAGTGCAAAAGCAGAATATAGAGTTATGACATCAGCTGCCTGTGAACTTGTTTGGTTCAAACAATTGCTTAGAGAGTTACAATTTTGAGATGTCACTCAAATGACACTTGTGTGTGATAATCCGGTTACTTTTCATTTTAGCTCTAATCCTGTCTTTCATAAGATGATCAAACACATTGAGATTGCCTTTCATTTTATTTGGGAAAATATTATGTCTGGAGACATCAAGACTGAGTTTGTTAACTCAAGTGATCAGTTAGCAGATATTTTTACTAAGTCTCTACGAGAGCCTAGAATTGATTATATTTGTAACAAACTTGACATATACGATTTGTATGTTCCAACTTGAGAGAGAGTGTTAAATATTATTTGATATTGTTAATATATTGTTAACTACAATATTAAATAATATTTTTTATTTATTTTATTTATTTTCAGTTAGATCTCTTTATTATAAATAAATTATCTTATACGTAGTTTATAGATAAGGAAGATTAATCCTTTATAACTTTTTCCTATATTCAACAAGGTGTAAAGCTTATGTTTTTTGCTTCCTAGTAGAACATTTTTCTATCAATGCTATTCAATAATTAATGTGAATTCTGTAAATGAAAAAAGTAATATCGAGTACATACCACTAGCGCAGACGGGTGTCCCATTAAATTGCATCCAACTGTTTTTTCTTTCTTGAAAATGCGAAGGCACTAATTTAGTATTATTATTTTTAAGTAATGAAAAAGTTTGGTTATTTGAAGCTAATGTTTGGTTTGAATTTTTATGTAGCAGTTTCTTTTAAAAATTACAAAGTGTTGTTAACTTTATAATTTTATAGCTTAAATTATTTTAAGTTAAGAACTGCTTTAGTAGCATGTTATTGGATATTTTATACGAGCTTGTAACAAACCAGGGATTTGCTAAACACAATCATTAGGTGATAATATAACTCTTCTGCACGGATATTATATGCAAGTAAATTTAAATTCAAAATAGCATTATTATTATTATTATTAGTATTATTTGAACTGTAGCATAAAAAAATAGCCAGGAGGACAATTTTTCGCACGTAACGGATATTACCGACTTACATTGTCACGTAAGATTATTACTGATAAACCAAAGCTGTAATGACTCCACTTTTTTTCTTTTAAAACAAAGGATGTTGATGTGCATACAATAAAAATATATATTTTTTATCTTCATTTCTCTCCACAATTTTTGTTAATATATGGCTTACTAAATTATATATATTTTATTTGTTGGTATATTCTTTCCGTATATGTTTTATTTTTCTTTTAGGAAGTTTAATTTATCACTCTTAGTGTAGTTTTTTTTTCATTGATAATCCTCAAACTCATTATTTTACTTATGAGTCCAAGTTTAGTTTCACTAATGTGATTATTTTTATTGTTGTTTCATCTTATGTTCTATTTTATTTTTATTTTTTTTAACATGACATACTAACCCCTTTTTTGTGATTTGTATTTTTATTTACTTTGTGAACTGATAAAAATAGAAATATTCAACATATTCCTCATTTATTATTTCATATGATTAATATCTATTGTTTTTTCTACGTTAAAAAGTACATATAAAAATAGCGTACGGTATTTTAGGATTCCATAGATAATGATCCATTATGGAAAAACTCAAAAAAGGACAGCCACAGGCTTGGCCATGTGCACGTTGGATATTAGTGCATATTGTCTCCATACTATGTATTTTACACGTGTCCCACGTTTCAATATTTGTCATTTTCTGATTCCACACCGACCACACCAATGATGCTAATCTCTTATTTCCATTATTACAACTTTATTTTACTTTTTTAAAATAAGAATATGCTAGAAAAAATATAATTATCAATTTAAAGAATCAATAACTAGAGCAGTAATAAAACACAAAAAATATATTTTTGAGACTATTTTTAGTTATATTTTTATTCAACTAATTCACGAAACATATTTATAAAACTACTCTTTATCTAACAAGTGTATTTTACACTTCTCCTCTCTCACTTCTCTTTATATTATTTTTCTTCTGGTCTTTTATTTAGTTTCCTGCACATTCAACTTGTCCTATGAGGACGTGTTGAAGAACCATTATTAGTCCTCTTTATTTCCTCTGAAACTCTTGTAGTTCTGAAAGAAGGACACGCACACATACTCATGATATGATCCAACCTCACTATCAAAAGGCTATATACTCCATTAAAATTTTCTCTCAACAATATATGATAAACTCCGAGAAAATATTATTATATAAATTATTGACGCAAAATATAATTTTTATTATATAACAAAAGTATCTATACACTAGATCTAATTTTATACGAAAAAAATATTATAAAATAATTTAAAAAATAATAAGACCTGGTGATCCTTATCTGAAACTGTTGACCGGCCACGCGTTGTGAGTCTTTCACTATAAATAAGGTTTGCATTAAGCATGGCTTCCACGAAGAAACACACAATAGAGAGAGTCAAACATCAACCAACCATGTCTGATATTGCAATGTTGGTAGCAGAGGAATATGAGAGGAGGACAAGACATTTGAGGAAAGGAGAAGAAGGTTTAGGAGACACCAAGTTTAACACGCTTTCTTGCGCTTCCTCGTTGTCTCTCAAGGTGAAAATTGAGGAGCAGAAGAAGGAGCTTATGAAGTTGGTTTGGGAACCAAAAACCCAGATTGCAATTGCTGCTTCTAACAGTTTCTTCTCTGCTTGAACTTAACAATGCTTTTGTAATCTCTGTTTCTCTGTGTTAATGTGCATAGTTATATATGGAAGAATTGAAGGGAATTATTGTATCTATTCCTTCAATTAAACTTTGTCTATCACTTTTATTGTGAAAACTTATAATCTCTTTTACTTTTCCATTGCTTCATACTACAACACTTCCATAATTTCAGTCACCAATATTTCTTCTGTACAAGATTAAATTTCTTGGGCTAACCTTCTAATAGTCTCAGTGTATGACTGGGCCACCTTTGGGAGACCATTGTTTCCATTAAGTCTTTGGGGCCCGTTATTTTATTTATTGAGCCCTAACGGGGAGGCCCAGGAGAATACACAATTTGTAATGCCCATTACTTCATAGATTCATTCGTATGCACTTGGATTGTATCTTTACTAATATTATATTTATTGATTAATAAAATTAAAAAATAAAAAAATTTAATTACATAAACATTATGGAAAATTAATAAGTTGGTGTAAGAATTAGAAGACTAAAGAGAATCTCTATGAAAACTGAACAATTATATTAAATCGATCTAATCTGTAATACTTACACACCTACTATATGTCTCTAATAGAATACAAAAAACATATTTGTTTTAATAATGATACGACAGTTCCTTTGAAAGAGTGGGTGAGTTTGTTTGGTGGGGTTGAGATGTTGTTAATTAGGAGGTTTTGTAAATCAATTATTCACCGACACGCCTAAACCGTCACACCGATTGGTTGTCCTACCATTTCAACCACTACCAATATATCATAATAATTAAATCCATTCACTTTACTTTAATACTATAATTTATCCTATGTTTTGTTCAATAGAATTTTTTTTTTAAATGAACAACGTATCTTATCTCTAAAAGATAATATTATTATTTTTTAGACTTTTTCACCAAAAATAAAGAAAAAATGTTTTTTTTTTATATAATTTTTTTCTACCCAACCAAACATATCGTTAATAGAAGCTAGTAGCCTAGTACTCACTTCGGACCACCAAGTTGCATTGCATACATTGTTAAAAAACGTGTCTTTATGATTTGATGATTTGATCGAAATGCAGGATAATTTCAACAGAGTTTGATGTGATATTGAAATTGTTCATCTACCTCTCAACTGCATTCAATAATTTATACCAAACCTTAATTATCCTCCTACACAAAACCATTTCGTCATTGCTCAGATCATCAAACAAATGAGACAACTTCTTTTCTGTTTAACGTTATCATTGTGTCTTTCTTCCACGTTCCAAATAATATAAAGATATTTTTTACATCCCTCTCAAATTATTTATTTTTAATTCTTTTTTGCCAAATTTCCCTTCTATCTCAAATCTAAGTTATTTATATTTTCCAAATCTATTCATTCTAATTCTCTTTCCAAATTCATCGTTTTCCCTTTTAACCTTGTGTTTTACTTGTGTATTTAAAATCAATCATACATAAGAAAAAAATAATAATCATACATATATTATTTTATAACTTTAAAAGAAACTTTTTAAAAATCTAAAACATTGCTTCTAGAAGTGGAACCATGAACTTATTCACTAACCAATTCATGAGAAAGGGTCTTGGTAGAATATGATTAGATACCCATAATGAAAAGAAGAGCATGACTGTCTTCTCCACTAGCTCATCTGACCAACCAATTCTAAGTGGTAAAGAACTTGTCTTTCCTCCATCCACTTACAGACACACTTCCCATGAATTTCTAGATCAGCCAAACAAACCTTAACCGTCGCGAATTTGCCCAATGAACATACCCTTATGAAACAGAAGAGTGAAAGAAAAACAAAAGAATGTAACATCGCTGTTTTAAATTTTAATATCCATGTTCCATAAAACAAGGTGTACATCAGTTTCAATATTCTTCGGAGGAACTAATCCTACCATAGGAAGAAGAAGAAGAAGAAGAATAACAAATTGCTTTTCTAAAATTTAATTAACTAGTTGAAGACAAATTTTGGTGATTCAGAAATATCTGTGCAAAGTGTTGCCACGACGAAATGCTGATAAAAAATAGGGAAGGTGGTCATCATTATTTCCATCAAAACCTTCCGCAGCTTGATTCTGGTGCTGACGGTGCTTGAACACGACATCATTCGGCACCACTTGTTTCCTACAGAGAGGGCACGTAGCCCAATATTGCTGCAACCACTTGTCCAAACAATCCCTATGAAACATGTGATGGCATTGCAACTTCCTCACCTTCTCCCCTTCCTCCAATTCGCACAAGCATACCCTACACTCTGCAGCACCACCCTGTTCTGCCTTCGACAATCTTTTGGTGTAGCAAATCGTGGGGTTCGTCTTCTCGATGAATTTGAGGTACTGGTGGGTGCTGATTGAACGTGACGATGATTTTAGTTTGTGAATGAGAATGATAAGTTCTATTAGCAGGGACGCTAACAGGATTATCATTTTGGAACAAAGCTTGTGGAAGAGCTTTGAGAGAGGTGTCATGGTTGGCTTCTAAGTGCACTCATCCTTTTTGCCTTTTTTTTATATATAACACATATCGTCTTGTGCCTTCACTGCAAACACAATATTATTTCATAAGAATTGTTTTTGTCATTAAAGTTGTTAATCTTATCCCTCCTTAATTTGTTTAGTTAAAGTAAGAGTTTAGTCAATTGAATAAGTATTTACACAGATGTGTCTTTTTCTTTTGCTGATCAAAAATAAACTACGTATTTACAAACTATTCAAAGCCACATGTGAACCATGCAAAACGTATTTATTGTCAAATGAAGGTTTTTAGACGATGAAATGATAAATGTATAACGTGTTAAAATGTTGAAAGATAGTAATATAAATTTGTTCTCCCTTTTGAGATTAGTTTCATTATGTTTTATTTATTAATTAATAAATTCTTAAATTATAGTGATATCAATTAGAGTAACTTAGTCTGTCCACGTTTTAAGATATGTTAGTCGTGGACTATTTTCTTCCTGTTGTAAAGACTTATATAAAGTCTCAACCTATCAATAAAATATTGCACTATTCTTTTGCAAATCAGTGAGCATTAACATAGTACCCTATAAAGTTGGTATCAGAGTTTCGAAAGAGGCCTGATAAGAGTGAGAGAACAAAACACTCGAGATTGAGAAGCCATGACAGTTGAAACTAACAATTTCGTATAGGTTTCCATCCCAAAATTTGATGAAGATTTAGATCATTGGAGTCTCCTCATGGAGAATCTCCTCAAATCCAAGGAGTATTGAAATGTGGTGGAGACAGGCTATGAAGAGCCGCCTGAAGACCAAACCATACCAGTAGTTCAAAAGAAGACGTTCGAAGAAATGAAATTGAAGGATTTAAAGGCCAAAAACTATCTTTTTCAAGCCATTGACAAATCGATTCTGAAAACTATAACTGAAAAAGAGACTTCCAAACAGTTGTGGGACTCAATGAAGGTTAAATATCAAGGCAATTCTAGGGTACAAAGAGCTCAACTCCAGCGTCTTCGAAGAACCTTTGAGTTCCTCGAGATGAAGATGGCAGAAACGGTCACTGAATACATCTCACGAGTCATGATAATGGCCATTGTTATGCAGAATTACGGAGAAGACATGAATGATGCTAAGATTGTGGAGAAAATATTACACACACTTACAGAGAATTTTGACTATATTGTGTGTTCCATTGAGGAAGCCACAGATATAGACAAACTTAATGTTGATGCACTTCAAAGTTCCCTGCTTATTCATGAACAGAAGTTATTAAGGTGACAAAAGGGAGATGATCAAGTCCTGAAAATTTCATATGAGGAGAAACCTAGTGGAAGAGGACGTGGTCGTGGGTCAGGAAGAGGTAGTAGCGGTGCAAGAGGACGAGGCCGAGGTAGAGCATTTAATAAAGCAACTATTGAGTGCTTCAAATGTCATCAATTGGGACATTTCAGTATGAATGTCCTAAATGGAAGAAGGTAGCAACAAACTATACAGAACTGGAAGAAGAAGAGGAGCTAGTATTGATGACGTATGAGCAAGAAATTAATGCAAAGGCAGAGGACGTTTGGTTTCTCGATAGTGATTGTAACAACCACATGACCGGAAACCAGAAATAGTTTCACACAATAGATGAAGGTTTTTCACATTCAGTAAAATTGGGAAATGGCACAAGAATGGCGGTGCAAGGTAAAGGGGACATCAAACTAGAGATACAGGGAAAAACATAGGTAATAAGTGATGTACTCTATATTCCTAAGTTACACACAAATTTACTAAGTGCTGGTCCATTGCAAGAGAGAGATGTATCTATTCTAATTCAAAAGTGTGTGTTTTTTGGTGTAAGTGATGAATCAAAGGCGTATTACATGTATAATCCCTTCACCAAAAAAATTGTAATCAGCAGGGATGTGGTTTTTCAAGAAGAAGCAAGCTGGAATTGGGAAAAACATACTTAAAAAGCTCAAATCAATATGTTTGAACAAGATGAAGAAGGCAGCTAACAAGATGATAAAACTGCACCCGAGGGAAGCAACGAACAGGTCTCAGTGGCTGATGAAAGATGAAGTAGTACACCTCCATCCATCAGAATTGAAGAACAAGAACACATTCCGAGTAGAGCACGACACAGATTGCCTCCTGCTTGGATGCGGAGTGGGGATTATGTCAGTGGAGATGACCATTCAGACTTAGAGGATGAATTAAGAAACATGACAGTGTTTATGACCAATGAAGATCTAGTTAACTTCAATGAAGCTATGAAACACTTCAAATGGAGGAAAGCAATGCAAACAAAGATTGATGCAATAGAAAGAAATCAAACATGGGAGCTCGTCAACCTACCTATAGGAATGAAGAAGATTGAGGTGAAATAGGTGTTCAAAACCAAACAAAATGAGAAAAGAGAGGTAGATAAGTACAAGGCACGACTAGTTGCTAAAGAATATGCACAACATTTTGGTATTGACTATAATGAAGTATATGCACCTGTTGCAAAGTGGGATACTATTCGAAGCATCATTGCCCTCGCAGCTCATAAGAGTTGGTGTATCTATCAACTTGATGTGAAAAGTGCATTTCTACATGGAGAATTGAATGAAACAGTATATGTAGAGCAACCACCTGGTTTTGTGAAATTAAGGGAGGAAGAGAAGGTCTATAAACTCAAGAAAGCACTCTATGAGCTTAAGCAAGCTCCAAGGGCATAGTATAATAAGATAGAAGGCTACTTTCTCAAGGAAGTATTCGAAAAATGTAACTTTGAACATGCTTTATTTCTAAAAAATGAAGAAGGAGGTAAGGTGTTAATTGTTAGTTTATATGTGGATGATCTTGTTTTTACTGGAAATTGTGAAAGGATGATGACTAAATTCAAGGAATCAATGAAGTGTGAGTTTGATATGAGTGATCTTAGAACCTTAAAATACTTTCTAGGGGTTAAGGTTCTGCAATGCAATAAAGAAATTTATATTTCTCAAATAAAGTTTGTTGGAGAAATTCTTGAAAAATTCAAAATGGAAAGTTATAATTTTGTAAACAATCCAATTGTTTCAGGAGTTAGACCAATCAAGGATAAGCATGGTATGAGAGATAAAATCTAACATCTTTCTAATTATTATCTTAAGTCAAGAATTGTCATTCCGTTGTGGGTCAAAATATCTTTTAATTAGTTCAACTGACTTTTAAAGGGAATATATTGGAAGTCTCACTTCACTTATTTTGTGTCATTTTGTTAAATTAATTCCCACGTAATGTGAATTGATGTTGATTTTATGATGAAACCTTAATATTCTAGAGACACGTGAAACTAAAACATGGTTTTTGTCGGACGCGGAATTAAAACGGAGATGGTTGAGCCAAATAAGAATTGGAAATTGGAATAGGACGGTCAAAGTAATTTGACAAAAATATCCCAATTCTTCTGGATAGAAAAAAAAAATCTTTGCTTCTTTGGGCAGCCAAAAAACGTTATAAAAAATAGAAAGGAAAAAAATAAAAGTAGAAGAAGAATGCTTGCACGGAACTCTCTGGTAAGATGCATCCATTATTGATCTTGCAGTTTTAGGGCAGCCAAAAACGAAAAATCACATCAACTTACTGTTAAAACACTAATTTTCTATTTGCATTTTTTAACGTAAATTTCGCACGATGGCTTTCTTCGTGATTGGACTTAGTCAGAGACACTCGAGATTAAGTGGCGTTAGTCAACAACTAATATATAGAGAGAGAGTGAAAGAATGTTTTTTTTATTCGTATAAAATATTTGTAATTAGTTTTTATGTTTCATATTTATTTCATGTTGTTTGATGGGTATTTTTTTATAAGAAGTATTGATACGTACGTATTATATTTATTTCATGTTGTTTGATGGGTATTTTTTTATAAGAAGTATTGATACGTACGTATCCTTGACGTATGTGAAATAATTATTTAACTCTTAGACTTTTAAGTGTTTTTATTTTAAATTAATTTATTCGTAAATTAACAAGAACCGTTAATTTGCTGTACGAGAAAAGGAAAAAAAAACGTTTACTAAGAGTGGACGGCTTCGGAAAAGAAACAACAAGCGATGTTGTCGGCTGCGCAAAGCCTTCTTCACTCACACATTTCAAAAAAAGTATACGAAAGAAAATACTTTAAGCACATTTTTCTGGATTTTTTTTTCGATTTAAACTAATTAAAAAATAAAAATTATTTAATTATATTTATATTTTTAACAAGTTTTAATTGATTGATTTATTTACAATAATTATGAAACTAACTCGATAATAATTTAATTTTTTTTATTTATAGATGGTCTAATTTGAATCATGATGATCACTATTCTTCCTCTCTTGATTCCAAATAAGAAAGGACTTCTCTCAGTTACTATTTATATTCTTCTCATTTATTATGAGAACTATGAAGATAACTCAATAAATTCTATAATCAATAATAAAATTTCTTAATTATTTTATATTTCTAATTTTGAGTTATATATCTTTATTTAACATTATCTCTAAATCTAAGAACAGCATCTTATAAATATTGTTCATGTTTTTGTGTTTTGATATTAAGCGAAAAAATAATTGTTTTGAATTTAGATATTGGTTAAAACTTCTTATGTACATATGCAGAACTATTTTTAGATGTTAGGTTCATAATACTAACTTGTACATCTTTAATAAAATATAATTACTATTATAAAATATTTTATAATGAATTATTATATTTTATAATAAGTTTAATGATAATAATTTTGTAATTAAAATTATTTTTTATAATGGTTTAATTTTAAATTATCATAATAATGTTTTTACGTCAATTTAAATAAAAAGATAATTTTTTTATAATTTATTTATGCCACTTCAGTTTTGAACTGATATATAGTAAATAATTTTTTATGTTAATTTAAATTTAAATAGACAATAAAAATATTTATTATATCAATTTAAAATTAAATCATCACAAAAGTATTTATTATATCAATTCACAATTTAATTGTTATAAAAATATTTTTTTAGGTTAAAAATT